TTTCTCTCTCTTTTTTTTTTTTTTGGTACAATGTACATAGCAAATCTTATACTTCTTAATTCTTCCAATGTTGTTCACCATTTCTACGAAAATCTGACCCAAAAAATCCAAACAAAAGTACATTCCTCCTTTACTCATTCCAATTTCTTTCACCACTTTGATGATTTATTAATCTGACCAACAAGTCCAAACAAAAGTACATCAAATAGAGAGGGCCACCATGAAAAGGTCAGAAGCAAACGCCACATGTTAACGGGAGTTTGTGTCACTGTCAATCAGATTAATAACCAAAAGCCATAAATTTTTCGCAGGTGGAGAATGCAAAGAAGCGTTTGGACAAGTGGGAAGAAATCAAACAACCTCTTCTCAAGGAATAGAAAGTGATTTTGATCAAATTTTTTATCCAAGGCAAACAAAAAAATAAAACCTATTTTAAGGCTTCTTGAATTAGTAAAATGTTGTTAACGTTCTAATTTGTACGAGATTTATTTGTTTGAAGAAAAGGCAATTCGAGCTTCGGGTTATCCATGGTTCAGCCATCACTTAAACTGTTAGCAACTTAGCATTCATGAAAACCACACTCAGTCTTGAACATAAACACTTCCAATTACTATGGAAATTTTTCTGCACAACGCAAGGCAACATCATCAGCACCTGCTGCACCTCAAATAAGAAAATGCTATGATTTCCTTAAAACAAGAAGCATTATCCTAATTTTTTTACCAAACACAGGATTAGATTTTTTTTTCACCCTTTTAACTGATAAACTATAGATTGTTACAACATGGGACCGTTCTTGCTTCTATATAAGAACAAAATCAGTCAGTATTAAACAGTTACTAGTGCAGCACATAGAGGTGGTAACTTTATATCAACTGAACAGTATCTCTGTATAGTACAACTTTTGAGTTCCTAATTTGAAGGTTCTGTAACAAAAACTTCATTATATAAAAATAAGGAAGAACCGCCATCACACGGGTACAATTCAAATTTGTATCACTATTGTCTTAAATATTATCCCAAAAGATTGTCAAAGGAAACTTACAAATTACACGGTGGGTGGAGGCAGTTGTTGCGCATTGAAATAGAAAAGACTCGCCCACATCAAAAATTGTAATAAAATCGAGCAGTTCCTTCAAACTAGCTCCACAAATAAAAGTTTTGCTCGCTTCACGTTAATCGACTTCCATGTCATCCCTGTTACTTCTTGTGCCCGATTCTCTTGCAGCATCTGGTTGTGGGGATGGGGACTTATTTCCACCCACCACACTTTTGTACATCCTGAAATGTATTATCCATAAAATAAGTAAGAGG